GGGGGGGATTCAGAGGCATTTGACTGTCGCTTTGGCTAACAGCAAGAAGAATAACAGCAGAGCAGTCGGCGCAAGGCAGGGTCACGGCGCGTAGCAGACGACCTCACCGTCTGTGAATTACCTTTAGTTTCGGATGATCGTCCTACAATAGCAACAAACACAGGAATGAAGTCCAGAAAGAAGTGGACCGTGAGCCGTAAAAAAATAATAACGCGGTGTTTTGACAACGATACCTCGCCATCGTCTGAATCAATTTCATCGTCGTCAGAATCCTCATCCTCATCCTCGTCATCATCATCTTCGAGCTGCAAAAGTTATCATATAGAAGTATATGTGGGAAAAATTACATCTGTCTCCAGGGCTTCGCCGGTGAAGAAGAGAACGGCGCGAGGGATTACGTATTCCCGCAGATGATGGCCGATTTTGAAATCTTCATGCAGCAAATCCACAATTTCTTCATCCTTGAGAAGCATGAGGTAATGAAATTAAATAATCTTACCAAATCCGGTTCTGTTAGAGACTCCTTGGGCGGATCGAAGAAATTAAAGAAGGAGTCCCTCTTCACTGTTTTTGTAACAGTCCTGACATCTTTGCGATTCTTGTGCTTCTTCACTTTTTTCATCACCTTAATGGTTACATTCTTTCCCGGTTTCCAGTTGATAGTGCAGCTGTTTGCAAAGAGCTTGGTAAAGAAAATTGTGCGGTCTGCTTACCCAGTACAACGTGAGATCTCAGGACCATCATAATCTAACGGATTGTCGGCAGGAGGCTTTTGGTTGAAGAAGTACTGCTTCGTAAGACAGTCGTTGGAGAAGTATTCATTTGGCGAGAAGTGAAATTCAAGCACGAAGCCCTAATAATAACGAGTTGAGATTTAAGAAATTGCTCTTACCGATTCCTCGTCCGTTATCAACTTGCAGCGAACATCATCCAGGAAGTTAAGAATTGGCTGGTCGTTTTCAGTAATCATCTCCGATGTTAAATTGTTGTGGAGAAGGACCTTTAGCCAAAACTTGGGGATTCCCTTGACTTTGTTATCCATATCACTTTCCTTTGAGGTATCTGCCAAATGGAACGTGTGCAGTTACGCAAACCGCTGCGAAATTTATCCGATAAAAGGCACTCACCTTTTGACTGAGGCAAGAGGTTCGTCGTTAACTACTATCGGGAAGATATTGTTTACCACGAAATCACCAAAATTATCGTTCTACGGGAAAATAATCCCTAAACTATTATTTTCGCCACTCACCCGAAAAAGCCAGGTTCATACCTGCAATGGGCTTTGCCAACTGTAAAGTATAGGCGTATAAAAGGCCAAAAAATGCAGGGTGGTGTGACGGTGTGTTGAGGAACTATTTCTGTCACGCGAATAATTAGCCTGTAAGAGGACACTGTCCTGACAAACATCGATGAGGACCTTCACAACTCTACCCTTCTCATTTTATGGGCTCGGTAGCCTTGATCCTATGTTATAGACTTAACTCAGTTGAGATGATTCGATGGCTGGGACAACACTTTTATTCGCCTGACGTTTCGATATCCGTCGCGAATTCTTCATTCGAGACATCAGCAGAAAGCTACTTAACTCGATTGACACTGATGTTATGACATGTTCTAACGTAGCGAGAGCGAATGAAAAAAAACCGCATGGCTAGACCAGAATAGCATCAAAATGCATCGACGCTGATAGCAGGCGTACACATAGACAGTGAAGGGCGGTAAGATTATGGTTCAGAGACTTGTTGAACACTGTGCTCAACTTTTTTTCGGTTGTGTCCTTTCAAGCAATATAACACGCTGATCGCTAGGCGTCTGGACTATACGGTGGCAGCCAACAAGTCCGAGTGAGTATTTGTTTGGTAGACACTTGCTGCAACATGGTGATCATTCGTGCTGTCCATGTCGCAGTTGGCTAGGAGATATTTTCAGTGGTAATCCTCTAAAGAATATGCGAAAACGTCATAATTTGGAATCATTGGTTTAGAGGCTGCTTATCGCGTAGTAGGTCATTGCAGTATCGCATAGAAGATGATATCACTTATTGGGAGACAAAACTACTCCCCGTCAGACGTCATTGAAAGCTGTCCCCTACACAATATAAAAATTGGCACATATACCGAAAAATGGTCATGGCTACAGCATAAAGAAAGCGGACAAATAATAGTCGGGGTATATTTCGCTTTAAAGGTGGACATTGACGACAAGCAGTTTAATTCGAGATATTGTTATAATATGGACGTCTAAACGACCTACCTCCATCCTCTTTTTCGCTCTTGTCAATTTGGGCTTTTGTTGAGAGAGAAGCCGCAAGCTGGATTTCCTGGAGATCATCATCGAAGGGCCACTCACAATCCTCATCAGAGGGTTCGACAGCAGCTGAAATTATCCTTTTTCGCTGAAAATGGAAGTGTGCAAATGCAAAGTTAGTGTGCGATTATCCTGTTGTAAATTAGCTGTGAGAGCAACCCAATATATCAGGGTTTAGGAGGGATTCAGCCGAACCATTTAGAAGGAGATCAACAAGACAATATACTTTATACTGAAACTTCGTTTGCCGCAACATCGGCGCGATGTTTGATACAAATTTTGATGGTAAGAGCAAAAAGCGGAAAAATGGTAGGAAAAAAATATTCAGGAACGACCAGAAATTTGGGATGCCATAAAAGCTACGACACTGACTTGCCGACAGCATAAATTGCGCAACGAGATCTCTAACTACTGTCAGAAAGCACTGCAATAAAGATAAGTCATATGAATAAGAATATTCGTAATGGCTTATTATTGTTACCAAGATGCACAAAAGGGAAGCAAATCCTTGTGATAACAGTCACCTTTCACCTCATAGCAAGCAAAATTTAGTGAAGAGAATAACTTTCAGAAGCTGACGACAGCAGTTACGTTCGACATTCGGTAAATTTATTAGATGTCGATTTCCTACTTAAACGTCAGTAAACTTATAGAAGGCTCGGGCCTCAACACAGATCTTGAACAAGATTATCGAAAACGCCAGAATCGGTTGTGGCAGGCATGTGACTTAGGTGGCCCAAAGCCCTTAAAGCACCGCGATTGCCCTACAAGTCCAAAATACATCAGTTCCAAAGTCTACACAAAAGAAAATGCGAGTCTCGATGAGTAAATGGGAATACGCGATCCTCGGACAAGAACTTTACTTGACTGCATCCTCCCTGCTACTGTTGATAATACGTTCGAAAAGTCCGAAACTTCACGCGAACAAAGTTCTTAGTCCAGTGATCATACCTACTTCTGAGTTCCAAAGCCCGCACCGAGAAATCTTGGGATGCATGGAAAAAATAGTGAATTTGTTATTAAACGCGTTTGTGGTCTGCAGGGTAAAGACGTTTTGAAGTCCAATATAAATAATGGTCTACTGAACTATGAGGGAAGCTAAATTGTGCCATACAATTCACCTCGCCATCATTCCCTGTCGTGAAAAGGACGATAATATTCGTAAGCCTAAGGATATTCTGGACCGCATCCTCTCTGCTGTAGACAATTTCGATATCACACCAAAAATACAATATTTTGAAATGTTGGCAGCTGGCATTATATGCGATGCAAAGGTAGTCTCCTGACCATGCAATAAACTTATTCAAACAGAAACCAATTCGGCTACCAACCTTGAGAACTTGACCCATCTGTAAGCTATTGGACATAACGCGCACTATGGGGGCACGCATTAACCCTAACCTGTGGGCAGATTGATCGTATTCTGCACAGCTCTACGTTCTCTGTTGCCGACAGGTTCGATCTGTCACGCTCCCACAAGAGGGTGGAATAAAGGGCCGTCAACGAGCGCAGTATAGATTATTTGTAGATGGCGGTCTTGGAAGCATAGATGGCTGTATCGCTCGCGGATATCGCCGAAGGAATAAATTCAAACATACTCCTGATAGGACAGCTCCTGATGAACAAACAAACAGGATACATGAGAAGTTTCAACCATCAAAGGAAACTGTGGACACCTGACAAGGAAAGCCGCTCCTTGACGCTAATTGATAAACTTAACCAAAAAAACTACAAAAGCTGCATTGTTAAGGCGTTTTTCCATGCTTGTAAGTTTATTTTCAAAGAGCCTGGTTAGTCTAGAAGTGATACTATGAATAATGAGGGTCCACCCGCTCGCTTGTATCTTGAGACTCTGTATGGACATGTATACGAGAAGACGCAACTCTACTAAATCTTCTTTATCGATTAAATGCTCGAAGGATAGTAGACGGCGATGTCAAAATTATTTGAATTAATTGTTGTAGTCTAACTGGTTTGTGTTAATAGTGAAGATCTGATTTGTAAACGAATCTTCGAGTTGAAACTTAACGAATCACAAGTTAAGCTGGAAATGCAAAAAGCAAGAGTCAAAAGGGAAAGAGGATAATACCATATCCCATAGATCGGCATAACGGGCTTCGTACTTCTTCTCGATTTCAAATATTTCTTGATAGTACTCGGTTTCAATGCCAATAGCCTTGAACAGAAGCTTCTTCAAGGCCTTAACGCGTCGCTTTACTTCTGCGGGTTGCCTTTAAAAATATTAATTTGGAAGGAGGAAATACTTGAAAAACTCAGTTATCGCCTGAAGCTTCTCTGGCGCAATCCCTCCCTCACCAATAGGACCATCGTACTCGTCGCCATCACCATCTTCGTTTAAAAGTTAATTAAATACTCCGTTATTTACCTTCGGAAACAGCTCTAGAAAATCATTATGTCTAAAATTGAATACCTGTGTGTATCAGACATGTTCCAGAGATTAACCTCGCACGCACAAAGAGACACAACGTGCCCCTCGAACCTGAAAGTAGCGCTTTCAAATCAGTCCACCAAAACAAACTCCGCAGCCGTCATTTATATTTTCGATCTCTTACTAT